AGCATTGAAAACGCAAATAAAAATCAAAAAGTGAGCAGACAAAATATCGACTGCACTTTTTTTTTTGTGTTGTTTAAGGTTCTGTCTGGTATTTGGCTTGGCTTTTCCTAAGCTGGCTGGTTGTTGTTATTATTGCATTTATTATTGTTGCTGTTGTAGTTGTTGTTGTTGTTGCTTTTTGGCAGTCAGCCGTAAATTGCATAGAAACCAAAGCTAAAAGTGGGTTGCACTCTCTCGCCCAGAATTATCGAGTATTTTGCAATTGTCAGCCATATAAACATACATATACATATACGCTATGTATACGTATTTTCTATAGCAGCTGCTGTCGTTGCCACTGCCGCTGCTCTTCTTCTTCTTCGTCTTCATCTTCTTGTTGTTGTTGTTATTTTAGTATTTGTTATTTTTGAATCATGCATTTTTAATTAGTGAAATTGCATAGAGCAGAAGAATGCAGCATCTTGTCGTGAATTTTGCTTGTGTTCAATGCGCAATATTTTACAGTCTCTTGTCTAATTATAATTAACCGATTTATTTATGCACTCTAACCAAAATGTTTTTACATAATAATGCTAATGTAACAGAAATTAACAAAATTGAGAACACAATTTGTAGGGCAAATTTAAGAGAGAGAGAGAGAGAGAGAGAGAGAGAACTCTTTCAATGATTAATTACCTTAAGATATACATATGTAGTTTCATATAAATTAAATAAAACTTGTTTTTCATTTATTTATGCACATATTTATTAAATTATAGCGCAATTTATTACTGCAGAAATTTAGATATGTGAGTCATCGTTAATGATATACATATGCATATACATATCTACTTCATTAGTCGCAGCTCAAGCTTGAAAGATTTTAACACTAATGCTAAAAGCATTCATGAAGGAAGCTTGGAAGCTTGCGACCTACCCTAACTTTATATATTCTAGAATACATTAGGTCAACTATGCACAGTCACCGCAAATCCGTTTCATCTGCATAGAAATGTGCTTATCTGGGTATTAACGACTAGCAAATACCCTTGGTTTATTAACATATTGCTATTTAAGTATTCTATATTATGCTTTAGTATACCCTTTAGTAGTTGCTCAATCTGTGCAGGGTACTTCCCATAGAAATCCCTTCATTTCATGCTCAATTAAACAAGTCAACACGGATGTTGTTTGTGTACATTCAAAGCGCTTTTTCTTCTTCTTTCTCTTTTTGTTATTTGCCACTTGATTTGCATTGCGCTTAAAATGTATTTACATATTCTGACATGTGTGTGTATGGGTGTGTGTGTGTGTGTGTGCGGATTTGTCAACTCAGCCAGCAGCAGCAGCAGCGGCAACAACGACGCCGCTCATAAATCACGCTAATCTATAACTATCGATCAAAAGACCAACACACAGACAAAGAAAGAGAGAGAGAGAGAGAGCTAGCGAGTGAGAGGGTGAGCATGTGATGGCCAGCGCAGCTATTCGGCGCTGTTCAAAGTGTCTTGAGAATTTATTGCCTGAATCCTTGAGCAGCGGCATATCAAATACTTGCGAATCGAACACATTGCGAAAAACTGGCCAAAAATAAAAAGAGCAAAACAAGATTTGCACATTTACATATGCGAATACTTAAATTTAGTTTAGCTTGAGCACTGAAGAGTGCGCAATTACCTACTGTCTATGTGAATAGCATAGCGAGGCACCCCAACTCCTACCCTCTTGCTCCTCTTTGCATTTGTTGTTGTTGTTGTAGTCTATTTTTATTATAAATTGTCTGCAGATATTTTTGCCAAGTTGCCAATTTTTAGCTAAACATCATGCAATGTGTAGAGCAGCTCCCTTGATGCACCCTGCGGCTGACAGTGCGTCGCTCTGTCGCCTTATCTGCTGTGGCTGTGGCTGTGGCTGCTGCTGCACCTGTCGCTGCAATTCGTTGCACTCACATAACTTGGCAACAACAACGGGCCACTGTATATATATAATATATATATATATATATGTATGTATATTTACATAAATCAAAGGCTAGTCACACTTGCAAATCGGCTTTTAAATAATGATCAATGCGAGTTTAACGACAGCTTTGGCCAAAAAGCTTTTTGACGGCTCAGCCAGCACGTGCTGTCGCCACATTTGAATTTGAAGTGGCACACAAACAGCTTTTCAACAGCTTCCGCTCCCCCACCTCCGCCGTCGGGCCACCTGCGCTGTAGCTAATTGTTTTTGAAGTTTGTTGACTGTTATCAAATAAATAAGCTGATATTTACACTCTTTTAGCATGGCTTAAGCTGCGCACTGAAGCTTAGCTGTAGTAGATTGTCATGATAGTCGGATTGGAAAACGGCTTTTACGCATATGATAATTATCTGTGACTGAGCTCTATCGGCGCTATAATGTAGTATTTGATTTTTGACAGATATCGAGGGGGAAAAAATAAAACTTTTTGATATGCCGCTCCAAGTGAACATAATTTTTTTCGGCAAATAGCAGAGTGAGAGAGAAAGACTTGGAGGTGTTTCAACTGGACGATAAATGTTTTTTTTTTTTTTTTTTTTTTTTTAAATTATTTTTGTATTTATTTATTTATTTTTTATTATTATTTATTTATTTTGTATTATTATTTATTAATTTTTTATTATTATTTATTTATTTTTCATTATTAAGAATTTGTTTTTTCATTATTATTATTTTTTTATGTATTGATTTTATTATTTATTTAGTGATTTTATTGTTTATTGATTTTATTATTTATTTATTTATTTTTTATTTATGATTATTTATTTTTTATTTATGATTATTTATTATTATTTGTTGTATTTATTTAAATTTTTTTTATTATTATTATTTTTTTTTTTATAAAATAAGTAAGTTGTTTTTACTATGAAACTGATATTAAATATACTTATTTTCAACATATTTTACACAGCTATAAAATAGAAAAGAAAATAAATGCTTGGGTTCTTGGGTTATTTTTTCTGAATAAGTTTAGTAGCAATTTGTTTAGTCGAGAGTATTTAAGTGAAAGCTGCAGTTATTTATTGCTTCTTATACAATTCCAACGAATTCGTTAATCAGTTTAATACGAGTATTACTACTACTGCCATTTTTCATTCCCTTTAAACACTCAATATTTTATTTACTCTACATATATATTTTAATGAGCTGCATTTATCAACGCGTGCCTAATTACTGCGCTCCAATATTAATTTACATTATTTGCATTAACGCTGCCGCCGTTCGTTGTTGTCCTTTGCCTTACATAAACAAATGCTTAATTATGTATAATATTCGATTATTTTTCAATAAAATACATACATATATGCTTGATATATTCGCTTATGATGAGCCTGGCTGATATATTGTATATATTTATATATAAATACATCCTTTTATATAAGTATCAGAGCTCAGGTGGACGGACAACCTGCCTGTTCAGCTGCATTTCTGCTTTTCATTTTTATGACATTTATTGATGTTTCTTTCTGGCTTTTTTTTCTGCTTCATTACTTATTTTTATTACTCGCAATATTTGTGAGCTGTAATGATTATTTAATAGCCGATGCTTGCTTCGCATTTTATGACTGTAAATAATATATTTCGTATATATATATATAGAAATATTGTTTTTTGTCCGACTTCTTTGGCTTGTAATAATGCATGAAGTGTGGCGTATTTAATTCGAATTTGCATACAAAATTTACGCATCAATTTATAATTTTAATTACTTTTCATTTAAATTGCCACCGTTTCTGATTGTATTTACGTTCACAATCTCTCGCTCTTTCTCTCTCTCTCTCTCCCTCTATTTGTATAACACTGGATTAGCTTTGAGAGCTTGCTACTTATTTCTATAAATATTTAACAACGACATAATTCAATGGAACGCTTTAACGCTTACACCTGCTCTTGGAATCCCCATTTAAAGAGTTGCAAGACCCAACGAAAGGCCACATAAATAATAATATCCCTTTTTATGTTGCGCAACTTCTCGGCACGTGAACTGATTGACAAGAGGCTTTCGACGCTGTCAGCTTTGCTCAAGGACTGACAAAACAAATGCTGAACGGAATACCTTATGACAGATGTACAAATAAAAACATTTCCACAATCTATAATATTTTTTTTTTAGAATTTTTAGTTTACGCCATTTATTCAGTAGGCTTTAAATCCTAGTTAAGCATATATATAACTCTTTGCTTCTATGGCATGACTGATAAACTTAGAAGTATTTAGCTAAGAAATGTTTAATACAGTTCACACTATATAAAGAATTTGGTGTTACTCTCTCACAAAAAGCTTTGAAGCTTTACAAATTTTACTTACTTTCTATAGACTCTCAGTCTGTATTAACAGTTATTCATTCTAGCAAATTAGTTAATCAGCTTAATTGAAGTAGTCATTGTTAATAAGTTTTTAGTTAAACTTTAAGTTTAAACAATTGTTTTCTGCCAACTAACTGGAAGAACTAAATTAAATGAAAGATCTATACATTATAATTAGAAGATTTCATCAAAGTTAAACTGTTCAAGTCTGGCTTTAGCTTGACTTCTCTTAAAAACTGTTATACTTGTTTCAAGTTAAAAGCTTTACGAATTTATTAAATCTCTTATTATAAAGTCCTTTGAAAGTTATCCTGCCTTAAATTATTCATAAAGTATTAGCACATATTTCAACTTCAGTCTTAAAATTATATTAAAGCTCAACTTTTCAGGTTTGTTTATCTTCAAAACTCTGAAGCCCTTTGCAGCTGACATAAATTATTAAATTGTCAAACATAATTCAATTCCAAAGCCGCATCAAAGCTTTCCAGTTATAATAAAGCTGTTACCTTTTGAGGACTGTACTGCTCGAAATTCAAGTCTACATTTACTCTTTAACATTTCGAGCCTGTCCTTGCTTTAAATATACTTATTTCACAAGCACTTAACTCATATAACTTAATATAAAAATGTCGTTCGTATATATGCATGTATGTTAATTATTAATACAATAAAATCTTCAGAGATTCCACTCACCTTTCCTTGCATAATCAGCCTTATTGTGAGTGTCACCGATGGATCCTCCAGTTTGATGGGCGCACCGCCCGCACTGCTGCTTGTGTTATTGTCCTCCATTGTTATTTGTTTTGTTGTTGCTTTATATTTATTATATTTTGTTTATATGATGCGCTCTGTGCTCTCGGCTCTGTCTTTTATATTGTTAATTATCTTCAAAGTGCTGACCGATTGGCGGTCGTTACTAGCTCTTGTCTTGCTCTTGCTGTTCTTGAACTGTTTGTCTTTTAGCTGCGATATATGGCTAAGGTTGTAAATATATATATATATATTTGATATATATACTTGCTATATGTACAGTATATTGTTCATAGATGATCAAAATATAATGCACACGGACATCTATTTGAATTTTGGCTAATCTGGTTTTTGTTTTCTCTTTTGTGTTTAATTTATTTTTATTTTTACTTTTCTAGTTTCCTTTGAAAATTAAATTGGTGGTGTCTTTTACTAATCGTACTACGTTTATATTTTTACTTTTTTGTTTTGTTGGCTTAAGCTCGCTGCGTTCTATTAATCCTCGTCTCTCTTGTGGTTTTCTGCTTTCCTTTTGTTGTTCTTATTTTCCTTTCTTTTCGGGGTTTTCCTTCGATTTAAAAATGCAACAAATAATCACTGCTAGATACGATTTTGCATAGAGTTTCTAGTATATTATGCTTAGTATTTGTTTATATTAATGTTGAGCAAAAATACTGTTGCTTAGCGTTTGTATTTAGTTTTTGCACTGCAAAGAAAGAGAGAGAGAAGGATAAACAATTAATATATTTGCAATATATTGAAATACTTTTCATAAATAATAACCGGCAGAGCAGCTAATTTATTTTGTAAAATTTGCGCAATGTATTTAATCAAATTGCTCTTCAGTCAACTCGACTTGACTCAACTTTCGTGGCATTTTTCCGACTTCCGGCATTTTGTTCAACAACAACAACAACAACAACAGCAAGCGAACTCTCAGCATGCCTCGTTCATCATCATAAGGCTACTATCGTGTGCGTTGTTGTAATTTTGATATGAAATGTGTTTTTATACATATTCATAAACATGTACATACAGCTTTGAAACTGCGCCAAGTTTTTATATGCATATTCCACCGTTCGTTTGGGACATATAACCGAGTGTTCACATATACATATATATATACAGCTGCGAAAAATAAAATAGCACCACTTGCATATTCAGAGTTTGAGG